GTTGAGTTACATTTCCGTTTGTCTCATATCCGAGGGATGTCTTCTAACATCAATTACCATTTGTTTGATTCAGAATCGGTGTGACACACGAGAAGTCTCAGTGTCCGGGGTTATGATAGCAGTGGCTCAGCAATCTGGTACATCATAGCTGTTACCTTAGAGCTAGCTGTTCCAATTAAGCTAATGTCAGTAGCGGTTCCTAGATATCCCATACCCCTGGAGTGTCCATGTGTGTTGACTGAGGAGAGCTGTTTCACTTTGAACCTCAGCTATCCCCCCTAAGCAACATCGGGAGTGGGAGTGTCCAAACGATCACACCGAGACCGCTAATTGATAATTACGAAAGTTTCTCGTTCGTGCTTGTTGCCGGTTGTACCAAACCCCAGGGAAACTTGTTTCCTGCGTGCAAATGTACATGAGTAACACAAACTATTCAGTTTCCAGTGGTGGATGCTGGATGTATTAATAGTGAATAAAAACTGGTTGGTTCATCTCAATCAACTAATTTTGAAAAGAACTGGGTTACGTCCTTCATTTCCGCCTCGAGTTTTCCAGCGTTCTGACGTTCATTAAAGGATTAAAAGAATTATTCTACCCCCGTGGATGGTTCTTTCTTTTTTTTTTACTCTCCATGTTTCATTGCTGGTGGGGAAGAAGGAGGGGCACCACGCAGTGCAGACAATCCATTAATTTACCTTCAGACTGCGGAATGGTGTGCAGTCAGGAGTAGAAAAAAACATCTCTAGATTACTTTAATCAGATTTCTCGGGGAGCTTTTCCTTTTCGGGATCACCCGGTATTCATAATTGTCGTTACAGCACAGATTAATGATGCAATTGACGTTATCAAACAATAGAGGGGGGACAGGTTCTTGTGCGTCTTGTTCTCATGGTGTTCCTCTGTAATGATTTCCGTTTGAAACCGTTGCTGATAATTCTCTCGCACACTAAACCGATGGATACGAGTGATTGTACGTATTTTCTGGTATCCAGTATAACTTGACTAACTCGGTTACCAACGTTCAATCCAGATGGCCTTCTCGTTTCTCTTCACGGGTGCGTGCTCAACTCGTTCTGCTTCCGTTCCCGCAGGTGTCTTTCATCTCTCTCGATCTCCCCTCGTTCTTTCAAAACTCTTGGCACAAACATGGAGAATTTTCTCGTGTCCTAGGCCTCTTTTTTTTTATTCCTTTCATTAACCCATGCACATGAAAAAAAAATGGGTAAATAAGTGTCGGGGTAATTCGGTTGAGTGACTTGGGCCAATCCGGTGGCTCTTTTTAACGACGCCATTTTGATTACCACAGGGGGAATCCCATGTCCTTCTCCCTCGAGCCCCCCCTGCCCCTTCCTCTCCCTCAGTACGTGATGTGCGTAATGGGTCATTCGGGAGAGGTGGGGGCGTGTCCAAAAGACCGCCTTAATTATATGCGACCGTTGCTCAATGTCCCCTGGTCATCCCCCTTCCTTGAAGATATCTCCGTAATTCAACATCCTGACTGTACGTGTAATGTATGGGGTTGAAATCGGTGGAGGGGGATGACAGCGAAACCCCCCGGAAACGGGGACACTTATTTTCGCGGTGTGAGAGTGAAGAATGGCCGGGTACAACTCATTTTTAGAGGGGAAATGGCATTTTGGCTCGCGCCGTTCTCTTCTCTATCTGTCGGTTTGAATTTTTGTTTCATACGGTGGAGAGATCGTCATCTTGAATTTCATGAAGTAACTTCGATTAAATTTAATTTGATAGAAAAAACAAAAATAATGAAATTATACAAAATGATAAATTTGAGTTATCGCCTTGGGTGTTGTATTGGAGGATCGTATGTGGAAGTAATTACAGCATTTATCATAAAATATGAAGTACACTTGGGGTTTCTTATCAATTCATTTCTACTACTTGATTCAGCACTTGGTCGTCGATTGAAAATGCCGTGTGCCGCATCATGAAAGAGCTTTTGAAGGAAGAGACTTGAAACGAGTCTGTGAGAAAAAAGTTTTTGAGTAGACTGCGGGAGATCCACTGCGGTTGCACATCTGCACAGTTTAAACTATACGCAGTATGCAGTGGCTTGCACAGATAATAGTTTGAATTACCCCACGAATAGCACAGCTAAATAACCTATTATGCATATCCGATAAAAGCGGAGTAGTTGAATCCCAGGCAACTCCCGCATAGATGCCTTCATTATGCTCTAATTTTACTTCTTCCCAGCATCATGTGATGTTTCATTGAGAGATAATTAGGCATAGCAGCGGTTTGTAACTCAACTGGAAAAAGCATTTTAACGACTGGTGATAAATAATTTTGTTGTCTTATTATCTCGGCTTTTATACTGGGGACATATGATTTTTCATTGCTGCACCGCATACACTTCGGTAAGTGAGTGGAGGAGAGGGTGGGGAATAAATTTATCGCAATGTATTCGCTATATTTCAACCACTGTCCGTAAAATGGAAATTAATCATAAATAACGACTTCAGTAGAGCGAGAGCCCGTGAACGAATAAATTTAACCAAACGGTGCGAAGCTTGGCTCCTACCTCACTTCCACCAAACGCCTCTATTTATTTCTTTTTACCCCGTCGCCGAGGCTATTTTTTTGAATATTTTCCCATCTCACCCTCTCCAGTCGAATCAACCCCCGGTATTCTTTCTGATAACTCGTCCCTTCTTTTTATCTTCTCACTGGGTCTCTCGATCCGCTGTGCATTTTCACTCTCTTCTTCGTCGGGGAAAAAGTCACTTTTAACTTTGCGAGTTTATCTTTCTCACAACTCTGACCAAAAGCAAGACGCTACATTACGCTTCGTGTACATCTTTTCGCGGTTCAATATTGAGTTGCCCCAGAGAGACTTGGAATTTCATCCGGAGCCAAAGAGAAGGAGTTTTCATTCGAGTAGTTCGATGTGATTTCAGTATCGAATCTGGGGCATTCAACGGCTGAGCTTTTTGGAGTTATACCTGAATCATATCGATCTTCTACTTGAATTATGAATTATTCTCGATAAAATTTTTCATCGATTTTTATTGTATCAATTTGGTGCTCGTTGGGGTTATGAATACCGCGATAGGTAACGCTTGGTATACGGGCAAAATGTGGAAGAACGAGAGGTAGAAGACTGGAAATTGTACAGCCGGTCATTCCAGAATACCGAGAGGGTAAAACCACAAAACTGGGTCGTCGAGACTTGACGGTGGAGCTGGCGAAGCGCCCAGTGAACATTTTGAATTGGACTGAAAAGCGGATTGAGGCTTGGAAAATATTCTATAATAAAAGTTAAGACTCACCGAGAAACTTGACGTACAAACAGCCCAGTGAGATTGATAATGCAATAGTTAAGCAACAAAAGCTCAAAACTCATTAATCTTTTGTTGAGTAGCTCATCAGCTGTCCATTACGTCGGCCAATCAAGGTGTACCCGATGGTGAGGGAGTCAAGGAGACATTCGGAATTGTGCCACGCCAATCCACAATGTCTGGATTGTTAATTGGTCCCGGTGAACTTCTCAACAAGTGAACCTCATTTCTATCCCTCGTTTTTCACCTTCAATTCGACAGATAGTCGTTCAAACTGATGGATAACTGTGCCGATTAGCGTCAATCCTCGAGTGCCCAGTGATATTTGTTCGTTAACCTCTTTCTCTCAGCGTTCTTGCCACGTCCATTTTCGAATGCCAGCAAAACTTTACTGGAAATAGAAGAACTGGCGGGAGGGGAGGATAAAAACGTTTGAGCCGAAGAGGGATATAAGTCTCCTTCGTTTTCACGGGGTAAGAGTCTTTGTCCCTAATTGACGTGGCCAGTGTCTCGTTGGAAGACTGGCGTCGTCTTCCACGTTGTCACGTCATCTACTAACGACCCCTTTTCTAAATCCTACGCTCAGTCAAGGGAAGCGCGAACTTCTCACACCGATCTACGGATTTGATTCGACATTTCTGATCATCACGTTTTCCCTCACACAAGTCCCTCCACACTCGTCCACCAGTCGAACCTCCAGATTTTCACACTGATTATTTTTCCATTTCAACTTAATGCCTTGAAAAAAAAAAGCACCTCACTCGCAGACTGTGCACTTTGGACTTTGACTTTAATTGAATCATTAACAGAGATTGCTGTAATTTCGGGGGGAGAAAAATTGGGTCATAAGAGACGGTCAAGGAAAATTGAGGGAGAACAATTGGAATTCCATCAGTCTGTTGAGAATGCTATTTGGAGGGCAATCGAGTGGATTTGACACTCCGCAAATCAAGCCCTCTCATCCTCATACCGTCAATCGACGCCATCTTTGGTGTCTCTGGAACGTTTGATCTTCCCCGAACCATGCACCTCCTCTCTTTATCACGCGTTTCAAATCCCCGGGTTTCCCCTCTGATTTTCAAGTTGACGCCTCTGAAATCGCGGTCCAACGGTCCTCAACTCAACCCCTCAATGAATCAAAATACCCTCTGCCACTATCTCTGCCTCTTCCAGCATTACACCGCCATTACTGTTAATTGAATCGATTGCTACCCAGATTGCCGGATACTCTCGTTACCCTTGGTACATGCTAAAAGATTGCCGGGGATATTATATCCCGTAGCACGCGAGGTTATCATCTTCAAGCTGATCACTTATTCAGGGATGGAAAATATATTTATTTTATCGTTCAATCGTTCTCTTTCGAGGACAAGAGCATCCGGGAATTTTCCACTAAAAATTTATCTCCAGACGGTACACATTTACTTAACATTTCTCCATTATTTAAATCAATCCACGTTATAATGAGCAAGAGTCCAAATCTCATTCGTTCCACTCTCATCTCTTCATGTAGCATCAAAAATTACCCAAACGGGTTCATTACCCTCCCTCCTCCCCCAGAAAGAACAACTACGTACAATGAGCAAAAAGGAAAGGTGACTCTCGCAAATGAGATTCCCTCGCACGTGACTCCACTTGATTTTTCACTCCCTACCCCACCGAAAATGTAATTTTATTAAATCCAATGTTTCTCTGTTGCAGATGCTGAGTGTGTAACATAAAAGCCAACGAGCAAAATGAATGCCTTTGTGGGATACCGTCTCATTTTGGCCCTTCTACCTCTTGTGAACGTTGTCACGTCCCTCGAGTGGAAGAATAGCGCTGTGTTGGACAACAACTTCCTGGTACTCTGGACACCAGGAGACAGAGACATTGTATTCGAGGTGCAAGTTAAGACCCAGGGGTACGTGGGTCTTGGCTTCACGAGGGACGACAGGCATGTCGGTGCTGACATGGTCATCGGTTGGGTGGATAACAACGGCCAGGTTCATCTTCAGGTGAGTACTTGTTCAAAATACGTGACAAAATGTCAGGCGAGTTTTGGCCACACACGAGCAATCGCAAATATTCAATTGCCCCTTGAACGATAGAGCACTTGACCCACGAGGGGACAAACCCCTCCACGAAGATTTATCTAATGGAATAATCGAAAATTCAATTTTTTCAATCAATTAACCCCGAGTAATTAATCGCGCCCGAAATTTCGAAGACACCAGCGGCTACCGTCGACGAATATCGTAATGCCAACCGGTCGAAAACAAAAAAAACCGCGTAATGATAGTACTTGGGTTACGCTAAGTAGCGGGTGTCGAGTTTCGATCAGTGAATCGAATAGTTATCAATCTCGATCCACCGATTGAGATCTCCCAGCGCCCTGTGATTACCTCAAACTTTTTTTTTATTATATCCACGACACTCGCTTCATCATAATCCCCGTATAAATCCTCACTCCACAGCCCTGAATTCTTTGTTGCATCAAAACCAATCTCAGATTTGTCCATAAAACATTCTTCATCTTCCCCTTTATAAATGCAAGCGCTGATCGATTGGATTTGCCACTGAAGTTGGATTCACTGCAGTAGAAATAAAGGTATCCGTAGCGAGGGAATATCCCCGGAATATCTGAATTTTCTTATAACAAAATTGAAAACCACACTCAGTGGAGACTCTGGAGAGACGCAATCCCCAGCATTGTCCTTTTTCTCTCCCTCTCTCTCTGCATCTATCCTTTTTTCTTTGATCATATTTCTCCAGTCGTCTGGCTGTCGTTGGAAACTCGAGAGGCTGGGGCTTACTATCAAGTGCTAGGTTAGGAGTACACTGGCGGGAATAAATGAAAAAAAAAAGGGAAAAAAAGAAGGGCGAGTAGGTCGTAACGTTGGTAGTAAGACTGGAGATCGCGTTCATCTCGCGTGTCCACAATTTTTCCAGCAGAATCGCTGCACGCCCGTTCCATAATGCATGCCGCAGTGGCAGTGGCAACAGTGTGCAGCATTGCTCTCTTCTGGCCTCTCATACACTACATCTTCGGAGTTTCCTCTGGCTCCTCTTATCCTCGCTCTTTCCTCCTGACGAGCATCAGTCACCAAGTGCACAACATCTAGCTCGAGGGACCGATGCTAATCAGGGGATAATCAGAGCTCGACCCAGAAAAAATTCTGACTTAAATTCGAGAAATCTTTATTTAAAACGAATTCATTATCCATCTCAACGGAATTCCCTGGAGAGGAGATAGATGTTTGTTTGATATTGATTGAGAATTCATTTGGATCGAAGTCTCATTGAGATAAATCTTTTCTTTATTTTGGGGTGCGCCTTCACTTCCGGCGACACCAGTGGTTTTTTTTTTTTTCTCTCCATCCCAGGTGTCGAGATCGTAAAATTTATGTCCCAACATGGTACTTAAACCTCGTACATCCCCAACTTTGACACTCTACCATTACAAATGTAGCGCGATTACTTGCAACTTCTTGTCGCAGCCGGAAGTGATCGATACTCCAATGAGTTTAAAGATTGAACGGCTAGTGACTGCTAGATAGAGCGTGTTATGGAATGACATGGGAATGGCCGATCTCATTGGAAAATTCATCCAGCCCGACTCTTCCTCCGGTTGTAATAAAGTCAACGGTGAAGATGTATGCGATGTGATATTCTATGGGGCCATTCAATGGGCATTTGCTGGCTACACACTGGCCAGTTATGTTACAATATGTATCACGTGCGGCCCCGCTGATTCCCATTAACATATAACCAGTCTTAACGAGAACCAGAGGCACACCTCCAGAGACATGACCGAACCAACGTGGGTTGTTGTGAAAAATATCGAAATTACTCTTCCTGTAAACAATTAAAAAATTACTCCTCAAATTTCGAAATCAGAATTTTCCTCTCGAGCTGTTTTCTTCAAACTTATAAATCACTTATCGGACTACACTGTCGAAAATTTATTGAAATTTTCTTCACAGAGTTCAATTATAGAAATTCTCTCTGAAATAGAAAAAATTGAGGAAACGAGGAGATTTCGTAATTTAATGGGTGATAACGGTGGAATAATTCCGTAATATTTTGCCAGAGAATGAAAATTGTTCATTACCCGTCATGTTCTGAAATCAGAAATGAATCTCCTGGCCACAATGTAATTAGCTACCTTCAAAATCCTCGAGGATTTTCCGAGAGGAAAATACCAGCTAATCCCACTGGTGATGTAAATTCCCATGCGTAAACTTTGCCATTTGTGTAAACCACGGAAGTGAGAGTAATTGGAACTCACGTTGGTTAGATTGCTTCAGGTTGGGGCTCATCTATCTCCCGTTTATGCATAAACTCATGTGTTTCAACTCCACAACATGGAAATACCCCCGGTGGTTGGTACAAAGAATAAAATAACCAAGTGGAGTCATCATCTCAGAGGCTCACTCCTGGATATATTCCACCTGAGAAACAGTTTCTTGTGCCATCAAGACACGTGTAACAATCATCGTGGGGCCTTCAATTTTCATTTCTTGAAACAATTTTAAGTGTTTTTAACTTGTTTTTCATGCTGAGAACGAGAACTGAGCTTTTAGGGGGAGATTAATTATTTTACGGTGGCGATTATTCTTCTGCGGACTCACCTTTTTGCGAATAAACCAGGCAGATGCCTGCATACCATTTCAACATACCGTGAATTTTTAACGCAAGAACACCGATTCCACTTTTCTTTCATTTATTTCTCTGTATTTGGTTATTTTTTTTAATCGTATCCTGTTGAACTTTCGCCAGGTTTTGCCGTTTTGCCTGGGCGTATCTCTTTGTCTTTTCCAACCCACTGGTGGTGCAGTTTTTTATCATCCCGTACAGCGGAAATGGGGCCATGGAATTTCGGGGGCCAAGGTACACTGAATTTCATTGGGACAAATGTCACTGGAAATTTACCGGTGAATTTTGTTGGACCCGCGAAATTAAATGACCGATCGCCATATTTTTTCCAACCCCCATTTTTCACTCGTATTAATCATTCCACCGTTAACGCACCGATCGAGATCATCAGAGGACCATTTCAATCCGATAAATATCAGACTCAATCTTCGTGATTATTCCCCTGATTTATGCTACTCTCCCGGGAAGAATAAGTGCTCCGTGGAAAGTTCTTTCGGAGAGCTTTCGAGAGTCGAGTGTTTTTTCATCTTCATTTTTTCTCGGCCACTTTTTGCCAGACCAGCGTGAAAAGTAATGGAAGAGGAAAATTAAATGCAGCACATGGACGCCGAGGAATTTTTTTTCTTTTATTTCAACCCTCTTCCACGGAGAAAATTCTCAATGAGGAAATTTCAATTTAATTCGAGGTACAAAATTCAAAAAATTTTCCCTCGAATTAATTACCCCGACGACTGAGTGGACTGTCGGTTTTTATTTGACAATCGATTGTGATTTTTATTCGATGGAAGTCACCAGTCCATCGGGGGACTGAAGACGAGACGTTGAAGATTTTCTTTGACATCCAACAAGTAGCACAACTATTAAAATTTTGCTGGAGCTAGAGCATGGTGGAATCAAGTTGTACCATACTCCTCCATCCTTACGCCATTGCTCTTTTATGTTATCATAAACCGGTATGCCAATATAGTTTACATCTTGGGACGTGTTAGAATAGCGGTGGAGAGACCCCGGTGGATTGCATTACTCGTCTCGAGCCATATAGCCGGTGTGCTACATGCACCGGGGAAACCAATCTTCGGAAACAATAAAATAAGGAGTTGAGTCAAAAAAAAAAGCATCGGTGGCACAAAGGAGAGTATTGTTCCGATGGGAACTAGGGATGAATGATGGATCACAACCCATTCTCTGAATATAGATCGATATTAGGGCTTTTTCCCCCCCAGCTGACCACTGCGGTCTCGATCAGGGGTTCTGATACTGTCCAAACTCTCATACTTGTGGTTAGAAAAAAGTGCTCCCCCAGGACCACACGACCACTCACGTATCAAATTCATTGGTAATGCTGCCACAAGCATTTCGCGGAGTGATTACGCCCTGAGAAAAATTACCCTTTGAGACCTCATTTTATGAATATTTTTCGGGGAAACTTTTTGCAATGGAAAATAAATTTTTCTCAGTGTAGGAAAAAATTGGAATGCTCGTTAAAAATCGAGTGACTTCAGGTGTTTACATTCTCATTGTAAAAAAAAACAATTTCTTTTGAACGATAAACCGCAGGTGGAAGATCAACATGGTGTCATTGTCGCATCGTCGAAATTTTCCCTCCTTTGATGATATCACGTACTCGATATGCTCGCGTTAACTCGGGTTGCCATGGGGAAAGTAAAACAATTCGCGCGCACTGCTGGACTCTGATGAAAAAAGAATTGCAGAGTGAAAAAAAAAATTGCTTGGTGAGGGCAACGGTATTCCTGTGTGCGCAAATTAATTTGAACGATGTCGCATGGGCGAGAGAGGCTCGTTTAGTTTTAATGAAAATCGATATTTAATCGTACAATCGCCGTCAGCAAGAGGTGATACTGGTTCCCCGGACTATTCCATTGTGCATTGGATAGCTGGAGGCTTTCCTGTGGGTACACCTAGGAGTATATAATTTTCATTGGAAACCCAAAGTGGCCCGTTTCTGCTCTCTGAAAAATATTTTTTTTTCTCTCTTTCCCCCATTTGGTTACCGTCGCGAGGGTTTGGAAATTTATCGAGGTGGATAATGTCTGATTTGAATCGTAAAATTGGCCAAACTGAAAGGGGAATTGTAGATGAGGTACAGCAGTTTTGGAATGACTGTATCAGCATGGACGTGTGTCATCCCCGTATCTTTGTCCGGTTGTCACGTGCATCATCCCACTGCTATTTCGTTTTCTGTTATCGTGCGAAACTGATAAGCCAACAGATCACCCTCAACCCTGCCCCCCGTATATTTCACACCTCTCGCAAATCAACGAAAGGGCTGAGGCCATTTCTACCGTTACTTTTGACCGCTGATAGAGGGAATTCGGTTAATATTTCACTGAATCACCAT